TGCAGCAGTCAAACCCCAGCTTTAATAGTGCACGCAGAGACACTGAAGACACCTGCACTTTTACAACACATGTGCATGTGTTGAGCCAAACACAATGTCCCAAATATATAATTAAACTCCCAGGTTTCTTTCCTTCCCTGCAACACCTGTGACTCCAGTTTAAGTGGCTGGCTACAGCGACACGTGAAGCTTTGGAGCAGAAGAACTGGGATACCCGAGTGGAGATGCAATCTTCCACTAGGATGCATTACACTTTGATTAGGGGCTTTCTTTTGCTGGTGCAGATGGAAAATACCCATCACCAACATTTGCCCCTGTTCACATGAAACATGGGAGCATTAGAAGACAGGATTAGTAGCTGTCGTCATTTATACAGTGACTTCTCCTCACTTGGAGAGGGGAATTGGGAAAAGGAAAGGACACCCACGGGTTGAAATAGAAACAGATTTAATAAAATAAGAAACTAATATTAATACCAATATTAATATGAATGACACAAATTTATACTCAGTTATACTGGTCACAACAGTCACAGCAAATGGAGGAGCAGGCCTTGGGAGCAGATGGGTGAGACACTCCAGGGGTTATGACCATTGAGGAAAGAGAGAGGTGTTCCCCGCAAACTCCCCAACTTACAGTGAGCATGATATTAATGGTATGAAATAATCCTGTTGGCCAGCTTGTGTCAGCTGCCCCGGCTTTTACTCCTCCCAGCTTCTGCACCTGCCCAACTCAAAACTGCTAAAGACCTTGACCACTGCATATCAGTGCTGGCCGAAAACTTTAACAAGGTGTCTTATCAACTTTGTTCCCACTAAATCAAATTGTGCTGAAGTCTTTTCACATGTGCAGCTTTCCTGAACAGAAAACTGATTCTGTGATTTTATCCCAGTGAAACCAGGACAGTAGCGTAACTTCTCCAAGGCTGCATTCAGAGGCAACCTCACCTACACGTTTCCTACTGCTTGCTCCTCTACTCCCAGGGCAGGAACACCAAACCTACCTCAGTCATGATAAACTCAGGCTGATGGTCTCTTCAGGACTATAATTCAAATTTTAGATTATAAATACTTCCAGTGTTCAGTCTGATGGTATTCGAGTCTTCAACAGCTACCAAAGTGTGTATCAGAGCTGCACAGACTGACCAATCTTTATAGAAAATAAAAGGCAAAGAAAAAATTGTTGTTAGGATTTTGAATAGTCTTTGAATAGCAAATTCAATGGGAAAAATTAACTAAGCAGCATTACAAACTCCCATGTGAAAGCCTGCAGAATGGTTAGCCATTTTTCAGTCTGTTTGCAGTGTGCAAGTGGCTTTGACATGCACGGGTGGTAATTTAGCTAATATTACTCATGTGGGCAGAGAAGCAAAGCATCAACTTAAAATTAGGGAAAATATTTGTAATTCTCCTTTAAAATAAAGCAACGGTTGCTATAGAAAGATGACAAACTATGTTTTTGTCATGCACAAGCTAAGACACAGACTAAAATAATTTAATTTTGTAATTGTGGCAAAAAGTTTGTGAATTATGGCAACCTCTGCAACAGAGTGGTATGGGAACTATGCATGTATGTTTTGGGGTTGCTAAATGCATGCAGAAAGTGAGAATGAGCTTTCTAAAGCTAAGTAGAGGATACAGACATAATGGAGTTCATGGCAACTCTGTGGCTAGACTTTCTAATCAGCCTTAAAAAAAAAATCTCCCTTTTTGGTGCTCTATATTAAGTCAAGAGAGCATTACTAAGATTGCAAAGTCAGGCATTCAAGAGTGAGGTCATGTCAGAATTAAGACCGTCTGTTCAACCTTAATTTGGCCCCTTGTGTGTATGAATTATGACATTGCCTTTAATTAGACGATCACACAATATTTTTTCCTATGCCTCATTCATAACACATGATGGATGGTGTTCACTGAATGATGAAACTGTATTTTGTTTTTTCCTTGTGGTTCAAGGTGTGGTAGTCTGCCTCATTTACTGCATGCTATATTCTTCTCTGACAATAAAACTAATGATTCCTTCACAGAGCTTTCTATGTGGTTTATCAATACAGCGATGACGTACTCAGCAAACATTACTTATTTAATTTTACTGCAGTCCTCAAGGGAAAAGAGAGAGGTTTTTTCACTTAGTTTATCCATCTAGAACCTACTCTCATTGCTCAGGTTTTCATCAAGCTTTGCTTCCTTCATATTTGGTCTGGGCAGCTTTATCTGCATCAGTTTTGGGGAAGTACTGATAATATATGGGAATTTAAGTCAGGGTCCCCATTCTGGCATGTGTCTGGGGTAGTCAGGCCTGAGAAGATCAACAGATCAGGGATGGCAGGGAAAAACCCTGTTCAGCCACAAGATGGATCATTCCCAAAATTGCTAAACACTTTGGACAATTACCTGTGCACTACAGGGAAGTGCAAGCATATTTTTCCTAAAATGTGGACAAATAGATTTCCCTCATAAATTCAAAAGTGTTACTAACATAAATGCTCTCCTTCTTCCAAAGACCTAGTTCCACAGCAAGAGAAAAAGTCTTCCAGACATGATTTTTTTGTTCATAGACTTGCACTTGGAAATAGATTACTTGCTCTGACAAAAAGTTTTCCACCAAAAAAAATAGTTCCCCCAAGAGAAATACCTTTCAGGGACAGTTTCAGTCAAGATGGTTGAAATTTGGCAAGCTTACAAGTGACTTCTATTTTAGTCATCATTCATCCATCATCTTTCTTAAGAATGATGGATTGCTTAATTCTAAAGGGAATGAACACAGTCTAGAGGAGCGCTCTCTGGGTACACAGGCCCCTAAGTTATTTATATCATGGTTCATACATCATAGGCTGGATTTAATGCTCTAAAATGTTTTTGACTTTAACTACGATGATTCAAAGCTCATAGGAGATGGAGAACTTTTTGAGATCTGAGAAGACAAATTGAGATCAAACCTTCTTGGATTACTATAAATTTCCTCAAACTAAATGAAACCCACCACATTTTGTATCACATATATTGCCTTTGGCTAACATTGTCAACCCCAGAGGCTTAACTGAGATCTAAGCTTGGCAGTCTATTTTTTTTGAGGTGCTGAATATTCACAAATTCACAGATATGAGGGATGACAATGTTAAGCATCCCTGGGCTGTACCACTGACAGGCAGGTACTTCTTTCACTTGGACATCTACCTATGGATTCAGGTACACAATTTAGATCTCCGATGTTTCTATTCTCTTTATATTCTTACTACATTTAAAATATCACCTGAAATAACATGGTATTAGAAGAAAAACTTAACTTGAGCAGGTATAAAACTCACTGAGAAAGAGGAATCTTTCAGTCAACAGCCAGTTTTTGAGGTCTCAGCCATTCAGTGGTGCAATAAATACAGCAGAGATGTCCAGAGTGTGCTCTAGCAGAATGCGTACAGCTGTGTGGCATTTCTTATTTTTATTTAACATTCTTTCCATCAGAATGAACTCTTGAATTCAGTGAAGGCAACAAACCCTGTGAAATAAAAAAAAATGCAAAAGAAGGTCCTATACTTAATAGCAGAGCATATTCAAGTTCTTCAAACGACAAACAAGTCAACAGAGTTCGTGCTTTGGCTTTCCCACTCCAAGCCGCAGTTGATAATCTCTCACAATTCGATGTCCATCACTGCTGCTGCTGCTGCTGGAAAGTACAGCCAAATTCCTTAGTCCACCAGTACTTTCATGTGCTACCACAGCTTTCAGGAGCAGTGACTTTAAACAGGTCCTAGCTCACTAAACATGAATGAATCCAAGTTTTCTTTCATTCCTCAGTTTTGAAAGCCTGTTGGAAATAACAGTCATCTTACCACCTCCAATAACAACCATCAAGCCCTCGTTATCTGTGGGTAGAGTAACCACGTTGCGGTATTACTATGTATATGTAATGCCCAGCTCAGGTCCAGCAGACCATAATATCCCCAATGCAAGGACACACGGCTACAGACCATTTGCTTCAAAATTCTGCTATTCTGTGTCCTGTCCTCTCCCTCTGTGGGACCATCAAAGGAGCTGCTACTTCTGTATCTGGCCACTTATTTCCATGAACTTTCTAGTAACTTGCCTAGCTTTGAAATCCTTGCAAGTCTGATAAGTTAAAATTACTGAGAGGACAGACAGACAGACAGTCACAAAGACAGTATCATCACAGAAGCCTCATTTTTGAAGGAAACCAACCAAAAACTGTTGAACTTGTGCACTGTTTTCTATGATAGTGTGTACATAAATGTAAGTGCACTTAAAAATATGCAGTGACATGTCCTGAGTTGCATGAGATCAGTTTCCCTCAGAACAGTTTCAGAGCAGAAACATGGTTAAATCATATTAAAACTCTGCAGAAATCCCTTTATAAAAATGGCACATTAGCATTATACATCTTTCATGTGTTCTGCATGTGCTAAAATAAATACATCTAAATATACTAATGAATAAATGGATCTTGAAGTGACTTTTTTATAAATAATTTCTTGCTGAAAATTATTCCATTCCCTTCATTTTAATTCTAGACAATTTTTCTGCCTAGTATAGTTCCTTCTTGATTGTCTGATAATTAAACAGAATCCTGTCAATTTTAAATGATTGCTAGTATTTTGCAGCTGAATTCCTAATACAAACAGGCATACGTTTAACTTCAGACTTTTGCTCATGTGCCTTCCTGAAGTAAGGCTTAAATGCTCTCTCTGGCACAACACTAACAGTTCAGCTCATTTATTGAGAACTTAAAACTTGAAAATGTAGGATGAGGTCTTGCACTAGGAAAAGAAGAAGAAAAATCCTCACATAGAAATAATATAATCTACAGTTGACACTGGAAAACATGAAAACATATCATTCAAATGCCATCAATCCATCTAGAATTTCAAGAATCAACATAAACAGACAGAAACACAGGGATAATTTGATCTTTATTTAGGCCTATTAAGAAAAGTTGCATCATATTCAGATAGTCTAACACTGCAAATAAGATTCTACTGGACTCATAAAATTATTAACATCACGGGTTTAAGGCAGCTGTTACATAGTGTTACATTAACATTTCAGTCAGATTGTATTCTTCTTCAGATACATTCATGCAATTAACTTCTACTGCATTTTTACATTGTACTTTAAAATATATAGGACTGTTTTGTTTCCCCCAAATTAGCCCTACCTGGTTAAGCTTTTCTCAAACAATACAGAGAATGGACTCATTGTTCCTCTTGGTGGAAGTGAAAAGACTTAATGAATTGATGATTTAATGACTTAATTGATGCAAGAAACGCATGTTGAGAATGGAGATAAACATACATCTTATATGGGCATGTCACATGCAAGCATGGATAAACAGAAAAGGAGGTTGAAACATTATTCTTAGCTAAAATCATTTTCCCTCCATATACACCCCCAAAATATCCTTGCACTGAGCAGAGGGCACATTAAACTTCCTCCTGTCAAAAGATTCCTCTCCATGCCAATCTCTGTTGCGGATGACAAATCTTCCATGGAGCCACAAACAATCCTCCATGTTGCCTCTATTGTTCAGTCCAATTTTGGCTTTTCTTTTCCTTCTTCAATACCTGAAAAGATATGGAGAACAGCTTTTAAAAATCCCTCAATGAATAAAAATGAAGAGTTTACTTAGAGAGGTTCTTCTAAGGCATTAATCTTTCTTCTCTCTTCATGGCTGTTGTTTCTCCCCTACTTGCTCACATGCTCTTGCACGTGTTGCCTCACCTGCTGTGAAGGAAAAGAGCACCTGCACACCTGATGGCAGTGGTTGTCCAGCAATGAACTGCACAACCCTCCCTCTGGACCATTTTCAAATCAGCCTAACCCCTTGCCGCACGCTCAGCCTTTGGCTGCTGCAGGGGTCTGGGAACAGTCAGTCCCCTCACCTCCTCTGCTTACCTACAAGCAAATTAAAGTAGATGTTATTATAGCTGAAGCTAAGCAGCCGACTTTATTTGAAAAAATTTAAAAATTTTTAAAAATTGTGGTGAGAATTCAGCAACTTTAACCCCTCCTCTATATCAACACTGGAGTTTTAAATATTTGCAAGTACATCTCCCTTTTCTGAGAGTACAAGAATGAAGAACAAATTACTGTTGATAGGGTGCCTCTCTCTTCCTGTAACAGCCATGTCTTTCAGCAATATCAGGAGGGATGAGATGAGTGTAGGGCTCCTTAAAGAACTTATCCTTGCTGCAGGACTCATCTCTTTTCAATGCTGAGCAAAGTCTGGGCTGGGCAGCAGCTTGTGTTTTTTCTGGCAATAAAAATGTTCAGCTATTTCATATGCCTGGTTCCTGGACAATGAATTACTATTGGTATCTGACAAAAGTATTGTTCTTCTGACTAAGCCCTCTCTGCCAGACATCTCAAATACAAATATTTATTTTGGAGGTTTTCAGGCCTGCTGCATGCTGGAAAAGAAAGCCTTCTGAGAACTGAAGGCAAAAGAGAAGAAATGTTTGAGAAAGCTAAGGAAAATCCAGTCACAAGTAAGATCACCTGCTAACGCAATATATGCATAGATGGAAGGCACTCCAAAAGTAACTTTAGAAACAGAGTTAATTAATTCCAATATGGGAAACAATAAGACCCATCTGCAGTTAGAAGGAACAAGTGGAGAGCTGTCTTGCTGAAAGAAGCAACATGGAAACAAATGGGTCTGGGCACTGCCAGCAGCCCACGTACAACCACCCTGGGTGTTGCTGGCAAACCAGTGTAAGGAGGAGCCACAGTTGAAGGTTTAACAACCAAAACAAGAGGCCGAGTCCAAAAGATTACAGTGGGTTTACAAAGGTGCTCAAAAGCCAATCTTGAGTCTTCTGCTTTCTGCTGGAAGGAACTTTTCCAATCCTTTTAAATGAGCTGTTTTATTTGCCTTTTTAAAGGAGCCTTTTTCCTTTCTTCTGAAGCACTCCACTGCAGATGCATCAAATAGTTTGGCAGGAATACAGATACCCTCAAAACTGTGGACAGACACTGGCTTGTACAAAGGGCAAATTTTTCCTTGCCTACCATGTTTGTGGTTTAACTTGGAAAAACTGCAAATCATTTTGTCAGTAGTAAGGTTTTATTTAATGCATCTCCAGAGGAAAAGGAAAAAACTCCAAACCCAAAACAACCCCCTCTCACCCCAGAAATCTTCTCATGGCAGACTGCTTTGATTTGCAAGCTTACTGCTCAAAAGCCCCTTTTAAACGCACATAGTTTTCAAATAGTATCTTCCCAAGCCTTGCACGGTGGCAGAGTAGCATTATTGTACACCTCTGCTGTTTGTGGTGTGTCTGCCATACAGTTCAGGTTAGGTTCATCCAAAGTGTTTCAAGCATGGCATACCAGCAGGTGACTCATGGCATTTTCTGGCTGACAAGTGCCTGAGCCATAAAGGGCTTTGGATCAATATTCTTTAACCAAATCAAGGAAATGATAGACAGAATAATAATGCCATGGTGAACCTTGGAATAGGTGGGAAGAATGACCCAATTCACATTAACTCCTCCAGGGTGGAGGACCACAAGAGCCAGGGATTTTGTTATGCATACTGTGGAATGGTGAGGGAGATTTTCCACCATTTACTTATCCATGGACCTGGTAAGAAATGTGATTTTTCACCGCATTATTGTTCTTCATACAGTCTAGTTCTTCCTAGGTCAAGTGAAGTTATTCCTTGTGGTTGCTTTTAGAAATCTTTCCTGAATTAACTTGAATAAGTTAAATAGTTGTGAATGTGACATCAGGCTGAGGACTGAAAACCAGACTTGAACTCTGTGACCAATGATCGCTGGTTCTAGAGCAAAAACAAAGACACTTTATACCCAGGTGCTAATATGAGCAAATGGCAAGTAAAACTGCTTTGAGCTTCTGGCATTAGGTTCTACGTAGTACTGCAGGACTTGTTAAAAGAGATCTGTGTGTGCAGTAAACTACTGTGTGAATTTACAGTGTACTAACCAGTGCACACCAAGTTTCCCAAAGAGGATAAAGGCTGTTCATGTGGTCCCAACGTGTTACAGGCCCAACAAATGTAATGACAGAATTCCCATGGAGCATGGATTTTACTCCAGCTGTGATTTGCCACTGTGGTGATTATGAATGTTGTTTACTTATTTCAGGCAACTTGATAAATGAGAAACGTTTTTCATAACCTAAAGGAACCTACTTTTAATCTTGTGTTTGTTTTATTTTTCCTTTTCTGCTACTCAGCAATGTGGCCTGGGCAGGGTACATGATGCAGTCTGCACAGCTATGTTTACCCTGCACTAAGGTGCTCTTCTATTCCTATTATTTTACTGACATGAACATATTCCTTTTCCTTGAGTAAATTTATAAGCAGAAAACACCTTATATCTGAAAATACTAAAAGAATATATTTTTATTTCTAAGTCTAAGCTTACTATTAACAGCATTCCCACAGACTTATACTTTATTCTAGGTGCATTTAATGGGTTCATCAGCTAATAAGAGGGTTGTAAACCAAATGGGTTGTAAACCTCTCAGGTAATTGCCAACAGCTCCTAAATTAGTATTGGAAGTTATAAAAAAGAATACATATTCATAGCTCATCATCCTCTCCAGCAGCCATTCCGTTCATCTGGTTGCTTTTAAGAGCAATCAAGCAAGACATTTCAGTGGAACTACTGTCATTCACCTTTGTTTTAGCCAGCTTAAAACCTTCTCGACCTTCAGGAAAGCATACTCAAGTCATCACAGTGTATTTAATGAGTTAATATTCCTAAATCAATACTCACATCTTTGGGTATCCCAGATGTAGTTGTTCAGGACCTCTCCCAGCAAGTAGAATATATTAATTACTACAGTAACAGCTGCAAAAAAGATTATTTTGACACCTGGGCTGAGGTGCTCAAGAAGCGGGTACACCCACACTCCTGTAACATGGTGAATCCAGCACACCCTGAAACAAAACAAAAATAACAAGTACTGACTCTTACAGACCTTTTTTCAAAAGTAGCTAGGGCTATAGGCTTAGCTACCGTAACCTGAAAAGCAATTATTTGAAAGGACTGCAAGTTGCAACTGAACTGGAGCACCTGGATGACATCCACCCAGAACAGACACCACAAATGATGACACTATGACTGATTTCCCATATGCTTACTGCTTTAAATTTACTATATGCAGTTGGCCAATATTCATGTTCTGATGTAGGCAGGTATTTCCTTGCTGTATTTGTATTGACGAGGAATACACACCCCTGTTTTGTGTGGAAGCGCGGAAACTGCAGCACTTTCTGTTCCAAGCAGGTTCTTTATCCAAAGAGCATTCAGGGCTCTCCAGGCTCTCCTACTTAGCCCAACTCTCTGCTTTCTGCAGCATCCTTCTTCAATTTTGTACACATTTGTGTGCTTCTGCTGCTTTTCCTTGCTACAACTGGCAAGTGCATCAGCTTTTGGGCTTGTCAGAAACATATGGTTGAGCTTTCCTTTGAGAGAATACTTTCTTCAGCACCTATGTTTTAGGTTGCTCCTCCTTTTCTTTCAGTTACCTAGTATCATTTGGGGTCTAATAATTTTTCTCTAGGTAGGATAAACCATGGAAATTCTGTAGGAATTCTGCCCAGCTCCACACTCAATATATAGCAAAGGAAAAGGAATTATGGTGGATTGCTGGTGACACAGCTATTTTTAGCATTCAGCTACAGTGGAGATTGTTGGTACACTAATCCAAGAGACAAGGCATCAGCTTCACTGCAGTGCAGTCTGTAGAAGCACTCCAGCTACGTGGTTTTGCTGCGTATGACTGCAGTGGACACCTGTACCCTCTAAAGGGACAGCTTTTGCGTTGAGGTCTGATGTGGTGAGTGGTGAAGTCAAGTGGGAGCAGAGCGAGTTCATCCGTTCCAGCAGGTGGAAGCTGAGAAAGGCAAACGCTGCCAAACAACTGAGCAAACATCATGGAGGCTGACCAGCAAAAGTGCTCAGTGGAGACAGCCTGGGGCCCGTGAGCTGCTGGGCTCTCTTCAGGAATGTAAATCTCTTTCTTTGGGACCTGGCAATTTGAGAAGGAAGTTCACAGTGAAGTACAGCTGGAGAAGACTCAGCAGCTGCACAGACTATTACTGATGGGGATTTCCACATCCATATGATTCGCCTCACTTGCTAATACTTCTATTTGTTTGAGGAAGACCTTTGATCACTAGATCAACATCCACAGACTTCTGAAGGGCAGGGTCAGACAAGTCCACCCAAAACTGTTACCATAAATGCCTGTCACACAGAGAGTACAGAATCCCTGTTCCATCACCCTGGAAATGTAGATGGTTGCCATAGCTTCCCTCCTCCTTAGAAAAGCTTTTATTACAGCCAAACCCTTAACAGTTGGACACTTCATGTAGGAATTTACATGTGTCGGTAAATTAATCTGCATGATCTAAATGCAGATTAAAAACCCTTTCTTCAAATGAGTTCACATATGGAAAATGATCTCTGTATTTTACAGTTATTTTCCACAACATTCTTCCGTGCCAGAGCTAATGTGACAAGATAAAAGTACCAGTGGAAAAATAAAGGGTTCCTGTGTAACCCATGCTAACAGGTGATACCATGTTCCTCTTGATCAAAGAGAAAGATGGGACAGTTGAGAAGAAGGTAATGGGATGTCCTCTACTCCCAGGTTGGCTTAGCAGGGAGTGTCTATTATTGCCTCATGTTTTCCAGTTTCATTTGCTTTTGTTTTATGATGATTCTCTGAAAAACAAGCTCCAAGGAAAAAGCTTGAAAAAAAGCCAGTGCTTCTTTTCCACTTACTTTCTCTGGTGCGATGAAACTGCTCAGCAACATAAAGCACATTTGCAGAAGGACTTTTTCAAGGGACCTTCTAAACTGCACCTGTATAGCCGACTTCATGAACCAAGTAGAGGTGGCATTTACTAGAATGCATTTCTGTTGGAAAGATGAAATATTTTCTAAATTCAACCAATGCGTCACTGAGGAGCTCCTGAATGTCAGCAATCACTGGTTAGTCCAGAGTCTTTGATTACAGCTCATCTACTCTGCTATCTGCTGCCTAGCACCATACATTGCTTGGTAATGCTGGTCGTGTGTTCAGTGTAGGTGTCATACGCCTGTCCCTGGTGCAACCACACTGTAGGAACTGACACTTTGAACACAAGAGGTGCCGAGCAGCACTTGCAAGACAATGTCACAAACCCACCTGATCAGCCTTCTTAATCTTGCTTAAAATGAGCTGTACCGCACTGCTCGCTACATTGGGATCGAGTAATCTTAGCCTCCTCTCCACTGAGCAGTGACACACTGACGATTCCTGCGCTGTCTATACCGCAAGCAGCAGCAGCGAAGGCACGACGGCTGCCATGGAAACCTCATCTGATGGCCTTTCT